GTAACGCAGTATTGTAATGCATTACTTTTAAAAGTAACTTTCCCCAGCACTGGTAGTGAGTTTGTTCTCTTATAGAGCCATTCTTTGACAATTATCTTCACTAGAAACCAACTAAAAGAACATTTCCTGTAATACCAGCTGACTACCCTTTTAAAAAAACAGCTGGTTAGGTATGTTTGGACGCTGGGATGCTAGTTTAAGCTGGCCCTTTGCTGGTTTAAGCTGGCCCTTTGCTGGTTTAAGCTGGTAAACCAGCAAAGGACCAGCTTAAACTAGCATCCCAGCGTCAAAACATACCTAACCAGCATATGCTGTTTTTTTCAACAGGGTAGGACAGAGACAATTAAATAGTTAGAGTGTTTTATAGATATCCTCAATAGACCCTCAAATATGTAGGTGAGGGGTCAGAATAATCCTGCGGGATACTTGTAGGGCAACATGTGCCTCAAAGTCTCATGGGGGCAAAATCACATGTATTGCACCATGTGGGAAGGATATCTTGGGACACTTTTATAGTGTGAAATATTTAATTCACAATGTCTTTCAAGTGTGTTAAGTGCCTTTCAGTGGTAATCCAAATTAAATATTCATATACGTTTGAATTTTGTTGACTAGAGCTATACACAAAATCCAGGTGTGCATGCTTATGGTCAAGGCGTATGGTTAATGACTGTAATTGTTTCCCATTTCTAAATGTCCATGACAGTGAGGGTCATTCTTTATTTAGGTCAAATAGAGTGTGACTGGCCACGCTGTCGTGAAGACTGCTGATATAATAGTCACATACAAGAATAGTCTGCCACATCATGGAAATACGAAAATAATAACTCTTTCTTGTGACTACATGAAAGACATCTACGCAACTCTTTCTTGAACTCTGGTGGTTGATTTGTTTGGCTGATATGTTGAGAGGTAAAACCCCACCCCGATGTTTTTGATTGAAGAAAGAAATGTTTTTTTAGAATGTGTTTACTTTTTGCTCATAAAAACACACTATTATTAGAAAGTCCGATATAAACAGTACTGGGTAGATTACTTACTAAATGTAGTGTGTTACTGATTCCAAATAACATTACATTACACATTTTAGGTAATATAATCTGATTACGTTTGATTAACTCATTTATCATATTTAAATAGGATAATCTTGTACCGTATAGAAATACAAAGAGAAAGAAAATAAATTCCCTTCACTACAATAAACAACATGAAATGAATTAAAGATTACATTACATCAAGGTTTCCCAAACTGCACTCTAAAAAATGCTGGGTTAAATACAACCCAGTGCTGGGTAAAATGGGGACAAACCCAGCAATTGGGTTGTTTTGATCCAGCGGTTGGGTTACTACCCAGAAGGTTGGGTTAAACATTTAACCCAAGCGCTGGGTCAAAACAGCCCATTTGCTGGGTTTGTCCCTATTTTACCCAGCACTGGGTTGTGTTTAGCCCAGCATTTTTTTAGAGTGTGGGGTTTATGAAGGAACTGTAGGGGATTAATGAGTTTAATGAAAAGCTAATAATTAAATCATATAACTGTACAATTAAAATAAATCCTTTTAGGTTTATGAAGGAACTGTAGGGGATTAATGAGTTTAATGAAAAGTTAATAATTAAATCATATAACTGTACAATTAAAATAAATCCTTTTAAAATAACAACAATCTAAATAAAAACAAACAAAATCAATCAATAAAAAGTAAATGTAGTCTGATTACAAGTACACTCTAAAAAATGCTGGGTTAAATACAACCCAGTGCTGGGTAAAATAGGGACAAACCCAGCAATTGGGTTGTTTTTAACCCAGCAGTTGGGTTACTATACCCAGAAGGTTGGGTTAAACATTTAACCCAA